CCATATTTCATCAGCCTGGAGACTGACAGACACACTTACTTATTTACAACTTTTTTTATCTCCAGCCTTCACATCAAGTTGTGAAACGGGTCTTCGGAGGTTGTTGTGTCTTTATTTTTATGTGAGATGGGGGAAAGAGGTAGAAGGAGCACATATTATAAATGAGTATCAAGGCTAATGTTTTTTGTGCATATACCACTGTTTTTCTAATATTTGAAAGCATAAACAATCGTGTTTGACTCTCTGTTTGCTTGCCAAGGTTTCAGCACAAGGAACTGGTTGTGAAAGAAAAATATGCCGCGCATTTATGCATTATACCACTAGTCACAGTTGCATGTCTCAAACTGCCACTGGCCATGTGTCAAACATTTGCATATATACATAATCCAGTTAATGCTGCTGTGCTTGGTTGGTGCATGGCCGTCCATGCTAATTACATGGACCCTGGTTCACCGTGGTGGCATATCAGTGCAGCTCACTGGGAATTAAGTGGTGATTCCTGTGGGCATGTCGATGCCCTTTAAGCCACCAAATCTCTCCTACAAACAGCTCTGCTGCTGCAAAGTCGGGTCACAGGTTAGCTGGGTCTTATTAAAGTACCGCCAGAGGCAATAACAGGAGTCATATTGCCTGATAGTACTCTTTGGTAAAGCCTGGGTTTCCATGATAACAGCTCAAGACTACAAAGCAACAGCTCGGTTTCTTAGGTTACTTAGTTTGTGGGATTTTGACATTTTTCTGTTTAGTTGCGACTTCTGTTTTTAAGGAGTTCACGAAGGAGCTCAGTACAAACACATGTTTGAAGGACAGCCTGTCCCATTTAAAGAAAATGTATGTAGTTCCTGGTATAACATCAGTGTTCTCTGTTTTTCTAAATGTTTTCAGCCGGTCATGTGAGGTTTTAATTCTCAGCACAATAAATACAGTATTTATGTGCCTCCTGTTTCAGTCCTAAGAAAAGGCTTTTATGCTAAGTATTAACGCACACTGCCAGTTCCTAATCAGGTTGTGATGCAAGATGCCAAAGACTTTCTGTTTTGTGTCGTCAATACAAAAACACTGTATCAGTGTTCAACCTTTTTCTGTTTCAAATATTCATTGCTGTGCGGCTCCTTCCAGTCCTGCTCTGGAGCTGAAAGTGCAGTGTGTTCCAAGTTGCAGGAGTAGGAGTTGATTTGAAGTCTGTACTCCATTGTCTGATCGGAGATCTGTCCATCACACCCCACAGCTCTAATTGAACCAGAGCACAGGAGAAGTTGAGAAGTTAGCTCCAACTGCATCTCAAAGTACTAGTTTGATTGATGGCATCACTTTTATTGCACCAGAGGGAATGCTAACACCGACATCTGACCTGGTGCCTTTACTGACCGATTCTGTCTGGTGATTGGCAGGTGTCTGTGACTGATATGCTTAGACATGCAGTCTTTGCATTAACCCCAGACTGCCACCCTGTTCTCCCTGTGGGTCAGGTGATGTTTAGGTTGATATTGAACTGCCAGCGGAGTGGCAGCTGGGCCTGACGTGCCTGCTTCACCTCTGGTCTCTGGAGATTGCAGCCCAGCCAGCCGCTTGTAATTAAAGGGGCATAAAGACAGATCAAGCTCTTTCCTCTTCTCCACTGAAGGGAAGAGGCTGGATAAGAATCCACTGGATGCCTCGGACAACAAACCTCCAAAGAGAGCTCCTTTTTTTGTTGCAATTGCATCCATAGAATGTGCATTTACCACAGGTTCACCACAAAGCTGCTCATCGTAATAATACCCCTCAAAGTTTTGATCCTACTGTATGTTTTTTAATGCAATTCTCAGAATGTATTCTCAGGGTATATTTTTCCCATCATGATTAGCTGTTGTTATCCAAGAACATTCGGATACTAGCTACTATTCTTGATGAAGCCAAATGTGATACACAGCAATCGCAGGCAATCATCAGCTCACTGCAGGATTGTTTCTTTTAGTCTTGGCTGTTTCGGAAAATCCTCTCCAGCCAACCCTTAAATCTTTAATGGAAAGAGAGGGAGAGAAAAAGATTGGAAGATTTTGACAAAAACCAACAAAACCTCTGCCCACTACTATTAGAAAGATTACTCTACAACACTATGTTTTTTTTCTGTTATTTAAAGTTGTATACACTATTGCATTTTGAAATCATACATTTGTGTGCAATAGTGTTTTTGGCATCAGAGCAATTTGATAGTAAATGCATCCATAAATAGTATCCACCGCAGGACCACGTTCAATTAACAGCATAAACTGTCATTTGTGTTTTCTATATCTCTGTGGTTGTGTTGCTAGCAGAGTAGTCTACATATCTATCAGAGGCTGACAGATAGCCACCTCCTAAGAAACCAACATCCATGACCTTCATGGTTCCTCTGCATCTAGGTGGACAGAAGCCATTCTCTGCTTCACAGGATCTTAAAATTGAGGTCTTGAAAGGTGCAACCTAGACGTCTGAGGAAGACCTTAAAATTTCAGCCAACAAAAATCCCCACCTTCTAATACCCAAGTCTTTCCTTTCAGAAAGAAACAGAAACACCCAGCATAGACTATTAGCATAGAGAGAGCTTGGCTGTCAGCAGAGCTGCTATTGTCTGTGAGGCTGTGTCAATCTCCTCTCACCTTCCAGCTCTGTGTTCTGGAGCTGTTCTTGCCTCAACCTGCCACCGTCACACTCTTTCAATCAACACAGTCAAAGCAGCATATACATATTTACCAGATCCAATACTGCCACATATTCAGATTTACCTGCTCAATGCTCTGAGCTGCCTATTTCAGATTATATTAAGGGCTGGTTACTGAGGTGTTATTGATGTGGCAGCAGTCCTCTGGCTCCAGGGCAACAGCACTCCACTGAGTGCGAAGAGCGATGTCTCTGCTGCTTGAAATGGGCATATAGTGCCTTTTTTATGTCACTACAAAGCAAACATACTGCTCTCAGTGTAATCCACAAACGACACATATTGTAGTGCACCTAAAATTAAGTTGTTCTATAATCAAAAAGCAATTATTGTCTCTGTGAGTCAAGAATCCCTGCAAGGGGTCTCAATAAGAATCTGAAGGGTTGTAAGATGATTCAGGTCTCCTTTGAAAAAGAGATCAATGATCTCAATGGGACCACCTGAATAAAGGTTTGAAATAAATAGGAACGTTAAGCAAAAAACTAATTTATTCTACACCGTTTTATTTATATTCTTGGTATTTTCTTTAATCTTACCCTTTTCTACATTTAAAATACTGATTAGTTTTACCTCTTCAGGAATCTCTAAAGGTATTAAGCAAGAAAAAACTCCCTGGTTGAAATTATATAACTTGAAAGTAGTCATTGCTTAGTGTAGGGGCAAGCCAGAAAAGGTTCAGCCTCGCTGCACTTCTATTGTCCATCATCATTTATGTGTTTGTTCTGTCCAACTGGCATTTATTCTGGACATTTTTGTAAAAATGCATTAATCAAACTGCAGGCACACCTAATTGCTTTACAGACAGTCCTGTGTACTTCCATATGCCAGAGAGACCCTCAGCCAGAGAGCGTCAGGTTGCCCCCCGTGCCGCTCGTCCCCCGCTGCTCTCTCTCATGGCCCGGGGCAGCAGAGTGGAAACACGGTGAACCTGGCACTGCCCGTACACTCAGTGAGTCCAGCCGTCACAGAGAGCACCAGCCTCTCTAGTCCATCTGTCACTCTACTCCCATGATACCCTGCTCCTGTAACCGATCTTGACTCGTCTGAACAATGGGGAGGGGAGGGCAGTGTATGTTTTAATCTGATATACGAGAGATTGGCAACAAACCGGCAAACCAGTGTAATAGGTTTGTGTTCAGGGTCAATTTTAAATGTTGTCCCTTGTATTAACATTATTTTTAAGTTTAGGTGGAACATCAGCTGGGATACTATGGTGTTTAAATGTAATTTATCTTTTTAATGTTTCTATATGTGGGTCTTTTGAGCTTTGTTTGGAAGGTCACACTGTGTAACAGGGGTACCAACCAAAATGACGTTCTTCAGTATTAACACAGACACTTTTGGTTTATTTTGCTAGGGACTAGCTGCATAATCATTATGAATTCTGATGTCAGTCCCAGCTCTAATGTATCATATCACATTCTGCACACGTTTAACCCCTATTGCTCCTGTCAGTCAAACCACATCATAGCAGTATTTACAAAGGATGAGGGACAATAGAGCATTTCTGAGTAATTTTTGATGTCAGAAGCAGACGGGTAAATCACGGGAAATGTCAACTAACTCCAGAGTGATAGGTCTTGGAGAATGAAGGATCTTCACAGGTGCACACCTCTTCCTCTGACATTCTGACATGCATTTCTGGCACATTTTTGACACTGCTTCTCCAAAAAGAGACTGTTTAATATGCTTCTCAACTCCTCCTTGACTGGTGTGTTTGTTCTCCAGCCCTGCCGCATGTCATAATGTGCCGAGGCAAATCACTTCCAGCCCTCAGCCGAGATGGTGATTGTATCAAACTGACCCCTAACAAGCTGTCAGATCACATTTGCTAAAGCATGCATCAGCACCGGCCCGCTTGGCACCCATTTGGACAGAGTGGACTGGTCATATTCAAGGAGAGTTATTGCCTTAGTTATCTATGAAAACAGAGCAAGACAGAGACAGACAGTTGGACTTTTCTCATACCAATAAGGATGGCATCCAGTGATGCACTTTAATGTAGGGAGTGGAACTATACTTGCTTTCAAATGTTGTAAAGTCTTAATGAAATTGCATCAAATGTTTGTGCATACAGATAATGGATGGAGGAGTTGGTATCTTAGTTTGTCCTATTACATCAGCTCCTGTGCTGTGAAATCTTCAGTTCCCCAGTTACCACATAGAGGGAGCTCATGCGTATTGAGAAACCAAACCTGGAAAGGCTGAATGAGTGAGAGCGTGTGTGTGTAAGAGAGGGAGAGAGAGAGAGATAGAGAGGGGGAGAGCGAGCGAGAGAGGTGCGGAGAACGAAATCACATCGTAGGGGAAGAACAACGTGACACAAACCAGGAGCTCGGATATCCATTTCAGCCGTGCGACAGGTATAACATGCTCTTTCACTTTGGAGTAACTTCGGCCAAGTCGGTGGGAATCTTGTGACACACTGTGTGTCCCGAAGCGGCGTGACAAGTTGGGAGAAGGGGAAAAAACGCTCTGGCATCACTATTTTTAAATGGGTACGGCGAGATTTGGGGGGCGTGGACGGTAGAGGAGCAGCAGTGAGCATGTTGGCTCCTGGCTGCAGCTCCAGTGTGGTGATGTGCCGGGTGCAGGAACTGGACTACGCGTAGACTGAGCGGCTGTTGGACGCGGAACCGGGAGGTTGCCGTCAATTTTCGGCAGCCGACTTTCTGTCATTTTGAAGCCCGTTTTGGATCATTTGGATTTATCTTTTCATCGCACTGTCGTTCGGCGATACAGAGGACTACAAGGAAGCGGGATCAGCCGTGAAAACGACGCAGCAGCTGCCGTGCGTAACGGACGAAATCTGGGAAAGCAGCTATTTGAATGACAATAGTTTGAGCAACGGCAAGCTTATTTGTTAAAGAACTCCTTATTATTCGGATTGACTGTGCATGGTAGCCTAAGTCAATTACATGCTAAGATGACGTTTGGGATTTGAAAGCTGTTGAAGTGAAACTGAAGTGATCCCAATGTGTAAATATTGACAGGTGTTACAGTCATACTGTCCGTCAGGCTGAGCCTTTAATTCACTTACAGCTCTGTTTTTATGTCTGCAAACACCGCGGACAAAACGGGTTTAGGTTAACTAACAGTTGGTATGGATAATCCGCACACTATTTAATTCAGTTACCTTTACTTCGCTAATACTCAAAGATAGGACATTGTTTTAGCGACCTTATCATGAGTTTGAAACGCCGCATGGGAAAGTAACCATTACTTAGACTTTTCCCCACCAAGTTGTAGCCAATCTGGCAACAGCCAAAATGACAAGCAACGGACCTGTTATCGTTTTCGAGTGGCTGAAGACCCTCCAGCTTGCCCAGTACGTCGAGGCTTTTGTGGATAATGGATATGACGATCTGGAGGTTTGCAAACAAATAGGCGACCCCGACCTGGATGCCATCGGCGTCTACATGCCTCACCACAGGGAGAGGATTCACGACGCGGTGAGAAGGCTAAAAGATGAAGCCAACGAGACGGCCAGTGGACTCTACTTCACCCTGGAGCCGATGCCACCCGCAGCTGAGCTTTATACCAGTCACATGGTGGACCAGTACGAGTCCAAACTGCGGGGATCCAAGTCCTGGACAGAGCCCAACAGTGAGCGGGTTGGGCGCAACGGTGGGTACATGGGCGCGCAGAGGAACCTGACGCTGGGCAACAGGAGGGAGCTGGTGATTTACCCCAAGCTGAAGCTGAAGATCATGATCAGGGATAAGCTCATCAGAGATGGCATCAACCTCTCAAAGCCGCCCTACTCTAATAAGGTAAGAGGAACATGGATAAACACAGGTCATGATGGTCATATGGCACAATAGGGACCACCACCTGTCAAATGTCATTCAAACAATGGAGCAAAGCGTCTCCTGTCCTATTCTCATACACAGCAACATTTGCCACATAAAAAGTCAATAAGTCTGATATTCACTTTGAAAATATGCATACAGTCTCTCAACTTTTGACTCAATTTGATACATTATTTACAAGAGTTGGTTATAAAGGCCACACAAAAATATAATTTTCTTAACTAAACAGATGATTTGCAGTGGTGGTTGTTATGAAGTTTATATGGGGCTGTTGCCTGCTTCATATGTCATGTTGTTGAAAGCCTACTCTACTGTAAGTCAGACAGATGCACCACTTTTGTTAATGGCGTATTGCAATCATGTGTTTTAACATCAAAATAAGGTCAAATAAACTGAGCCATAGGTAAATGCCAGTGCGATGCCTAAACATTTCAGCCCTGCTGCACTTTGCAGAAGTGTGAGTGGTTTGTGTCACAGTGAATGATGGGAGTGAAGTTGCCAAAGATCAATGAGCAGAGTGCAGAGAGGAGATCCTAACGGAGCTTTCACCCTGTCTGTGATTTCATGTAGGAGGAAAAGATTTACACTCTGATTATTAATCTACTCTGACCTCACCTGTCCACTGACTTGCCTCTGCATTCAGTGTGGGTGGATTAACCAGGCCCATGAGGATATAAGCCCTGGCTTTTTGCTGTGATGAATGGTCAATGGGCTATCAATGGCAGAGACAGTAAATGAAGAGCGCCCAGCTGGGTATGCTGTCGCACTCCTGGAACCAGGCTGAAAGGGCCTCTTGTTTTTACAGGACTGCTAGTGACCTTTTCTTCAGAAGTGTCTGAATAATATGCTTTACCAGCTGTGAGGCCTCCACTGAATGACTGCTTACATACAAGGAGGCACTGCAGGCCATTGAGGAGTCAGAGGCCGAGACCTTTGTCGTTTTTACTGGGGCTGACGGTAACATATAGTTTTATTTACAACTGAATGCTTAACCTGACACTTTCAAGTTGAGTGAGCTGGTTGGCATGGACTTTTGAGTTGAATAATTCTATGATTGACATAATTTCATAGAGAATGAATTACCTAGAAGTCAAGTATGTTAGTTGTCCTGGCCTTATGGCACACTCAAGTGGATCTTTTCTTTAACCTGTTAATAATTTGCACACTTGACCGTTTTGAGTAGTTATGGGTTCTCTGAAAATGGATGGAGTTTTACTCAAATCTTTACGAAAGAGATTCAACAGAAGAAGTAAGACTGGGAATCATTCCCAAAGGTATTTGTTAATTCCTGGTTATGTCCGTGTGTCAGTTGAATTGTCTGTTTGGATATGCAAATAATGATGCGCAGGTGTGTAACCGCTTTTTATCACATGCCCTTTGAACTGAAGCAGATCCTGAAGATATGCTGTTTTTCATGTGGCGATATCCAATCATGATGACATTATCTACCTCGTGTATCCACATAATCTAAATGAACCCTTTTCAGTACTTGCTTGTCTTTTTTAACTGAGTATTCACATTTGTGCAGTATTTGTAATCTCTTGTGTATGTCTGCCACTTTGCTTGATTTTAAATCCCAAAGAGATTAAGGATTGTTGAGGGATTATTTGACAAACCAGGGCTAAAACAAAGTTTAAGTTTCAAAGGGTAAGCTATCTATTGTTTTGAAGGCTGTATTTATTTAAAGCCAAAGCTTGGCCACTGAGGTTTTGGTGGGGAATGAGTAGGTCAAGGTCTCTCTCTGACATTCTGACTCTCTCTTTGTGTATGTGTCTAACCCTGTAGTTTTGAATTGGCTCCAGCCCAGTGCTTTTCTCCCCAGGAGGAGTGAGGAGAGTGTGAGAGATTGTGCTGTGACCAGCTGATGGAGGTTTGACTTACTGGGCTGTGATTGGCCTAAGGATATCGCTCTTCTTTCTGCCTTTGACACAAGATGACAACCCCAGTGGAGTCTGAGAGCAGAGAGCCAGACTCGGGGCAATTACAGGACACACAATGTCAGTCTCAAGGGATGTTCCTTGTATAGTATATCCACGATCTCCATCCACATTTAAACTGTCCTCTGTGCTCAAAATAAGCAGGGATCCTCATGGAGCAGTCTGACAGCCCTCTGCTCATCTTTGTGTTACCAGCTTTGTCTCCATTGTTTGCCAGTATGCAAAAACCAGAGGCAGTGTAAATGCTACGATTCAGAAATCCTCTCTAGCGTGTTCTAGATTATTATCAAACAATTCACCGAATGGGCTCTGCTGGGTGTAATAAATACCCATGATCCTTATCAAGGCCGTAGAGACCCCTTGTCTGAGAGAGTATTATTTCTTATGATGTAAACAAACACTTGTCCTACGACTGCACATTTCTCATCAGGGAACAATAAGCAGAGAAGATGGTGCTGCCTATTTGCCTGTTGTCAATGCACTGGGGTCGTAGAGTTATCTTTTATTGTTTTGGTTAAAATAAATGTCTTTGTATTGACAATAAATATGTTGAGAAGAAACTGTCAACTGTTTTTTGGAGTTTTGGAGAGGTGCTGTATATGGTGCCAGCGAGCTGCTTACTGGGCACGCTATTGTTATCTCAAAACACAAAAGAACGTACATTTCCCCTCTGTGGGACTAATAAAGGTATTCTGATTCTGAACCCAACCTAGTGGGTATCTGATGACATTCGAGACCTTGTCTAATGCAATGAAGTAGAAGGGTTTTTTTAATTATCAGATAAGTGTAGCAAAAATTAAGTGTTATTTGATTGGAAACATCTAATAACACTTAATCCATCCCCCTTATGTTCCTCCAGTTTTTGTTTAGTGAAATACCTCTTCAATTAAATGAAATCTCTTTAAAATGTGTTCTAATCCAGGTCCCATCCAAAAACTGCTTCTAGAATTGGTAGACATAATAGAGCCTTATTGTTAGTGCTGTGATTCGTGAGGAAGTGGAGGCTAAACACTGGAAGATTCTCCATTGTTTGTATGGAAGCTGATGGAGCCGCATGTCCTTTCACTTGTCTGATTTGCATTCCCAATTTCCGTCTATTGAAGCGGACTGCGGAGGCATGTGTCCAGCAGTGTGCCGATGGGTGGGTGATAAAAACCTGGGTGTCGTGCAGAGAGAGAGAGAGAGAGAGAGGGTAGTAAATATGTAGACGCGTTGTTTAAGCTGGTTTAACAAGGCTTGGTTGGTGCTTGGAGGAAAGTTTGACGTTCAAGTCGTTTCTTCAATTCCCACAGAACAGCTGATCAAATGTGTAGGGTGGGAATCATGAGGCCTGCAGCTTAACGGCCCTGAAGAATGTAAGAAATGCAGTGGACACCCAGAGGTGTTGTTCCTGTCTGGGGGTGGGGGGGTAAGCAGAAGGCAAGGTACCTTTTTAACTGACTGTTTTATTAGCTTTCCATTACAAAGAAGGGAAAAAAACAGGAAGTTCACCACCTTGCATGTCAAACACTCACCTCACTTCCTGTTTCAGTCCTTTTATCTAGATTAGTATCCCAGCACTCTTTTCTGGCAGGAAATTAAGTTTCTTTTTGAGATGACCCCTTGTCGGCCCACTGGTTAGAAAGGGCCTTCGGGCTGACTGGACAACTGCCAAGGCTTGGTGTGAAAATCCTTTAAAAAAAAAAAAATCTAATGTGTTGGAATCCAAGCTTTCATATATATTTCCACTGCAGTGTCACCAATATTTAAACAGACAGCACAGAGAATCTCCATAGATCTGAAGATTAAAAACAGTGCACGGATTTGTATTTAAGCATCAGTGTTATATATTTGTTCCATCCTGTTTTCCGAACTATGCATGTTATTGTAATACGACAAATACTTAATATAAGGCTAGACCCAGAGCTTTTCATTACCCTCTGTGAAACACTTCAGTGAACGCTTTTCACTAGCTTCTCATTTAGCCTATGTTTTTTGGCAAATATCCTCCTCATCTTTGTCCCATGCTACAGGGCTGGCATTTTGCCATAATGGGGGAGAAAGCCTTTCACAACAGCCTTGGTTTTCCATGTGCTCTGCTGAAGCTCTGTTTGCTTAGTTTTTATTAAAGGCTTCTTAAAGGCATAATCAGCCAAGGGCTCATAAAGGGGAAGTTATAAAGAAGTCAAGGACCAGCCTCTATTGTCCTGAGAGAACAGAGAAAGTCAATTAGCAAAATGGTTATTTGGAGCACTAAAAAGAGACAGATTATGTTCCCATCAGATGGAAAAAGACACATACACCCACTTCGGGCCTCTTTTCTTAAACAGCTTGTGTTTAGGGCCTTTTTAAATCATCTTTATAACCAAGTACTAGTATTTACCTCTTAGGAGAGCTGGGTGTGGTAAGGACTGATGGCTATCACAATGACCTTTCACCTCACTACTCTGACACAACACTAAAGTGTTGTCATCCAACACCATGATACAGCCCACACACTCAGTTGTCAGTTGCCACAGCTAAGCATTGTCAAGTTTACTTTGCACTTTATATAATCTACCATCTCATGTGCATTCGATCACTTTTCCACCTCTAGAAAATCCTATGTCCAATAATTCATAAACAATGTTCACAACTTTGCACCTGTTAGTCAAAAAACAATACCTGGAAAAGGAGACGCATCATGTCATTTCTTAAGTGCTACAGTGACACATCCACTCGCTGGATTTTCTCTTTTTTGTTATGTAAGGGAGTTTCTGACTTGACCACCCATCTCCTGGGATCCTGTGCAAATGTGGGAAAGCTGTATTTTCAGCTGGCCTTCTCATTTAAGCAGGAAGAGATGAGAGGGGGTCACTACTGCTGTGCTGTTTCTCACATGATCAACTGGCTTTTAAGCTACTTTTATTCCCCGACATGTGACCTTGGTTAGAAAGACAACATTTCACTGAGCAAGCTGTCATTTACAATTCAACACAACTCTTCTCTTCATTCCCTAACAAGACTTCTCAAATGATAATCTCAACATTAAGACATAAGGTCCAT